ACCGCAGCTTCTCCCGTTCCTGCTGCTCCTGCAACTTTGAGGAATGTTCTCTCTTCAGGAAACAGCCAGCCCCACAGAGCAGGAGCCCCAGCACAGTCAGGCTCACGACAAAAGCTGGTTTCCAGGGAGAGGCCTGAGGGAAGAAGGGCTCTGCAGCCCGAGGGTGGGGAGCAGGTCAGGGGCGCTCCAGGACGGCCCCGCACACTCAGGGCGGCCGGCCCTCCCCTGTCCTGCTGGAAACAGAGCCACGCTGACCTGGGATGAAGATGGCCGTGGTCCTCTCCTGGCCCAGGACCGGGTTGAGGATGGAGCAGGTCACGTTCCCCGCAGAGCTGTCTCTCACCACCAGGGCGGTCTCCACGTGGAACAGCCCCTCGGGGTCCTGGGCGTGGGTCTCAGAGAAGGCCAGGAGCTTCTCTCCCCTGAGGTCTCTCCACTGCACCTGGGGCTTCGGGAACCACCCTGAGGCCGTGCACACCACGCGCACCCCGTCCTCCTCGGGCCCTCGGATGTGCACCTGAGGGGCAGAGCCCACCCCTGCGGGAGAAAAGCTGTGGGGACCTGGAGCCTGACGTGGGCCCAGGGGTCCCAGTGGAGCCTCCACGTGGACAGCACAGGGGAGCCTGTCAGCGCGCCCTCTAGGGGTGGAGTGGGGAAGGCGGCCCCGGGGAGGGCAGGGCACAGGGACACAGGGACCTCAGGGGGAGCACAGAGACCCTCGGGGCACACAGAAAGTGAAGGGCTTTTCTCCCCAACCAGGGGGTGGAAAGACCGAGGCCCAGAGACACAGGAGGAGGAATTTGGTACTCGGTCCCGTCTGTGGACCTCCGCTCCTCTCACCCCACACCCTCCCAGCGTCTGTTCCAGACCCATCTTTACAAATTATCTCCAAAATTCTATCGATAGACATCCCTGTCTCCAAATTTCCCGTCCATTATATCTACACCCCTCTGGGCTATCTCTACATGAGTCTTCACATACACTTTAAATCAAAACTCCACAGTTGGATCCATCATTTTGCCCAGTCTTTGAGAACTTAATTATTAAAATGCCCTCTCTGCCTTTCTTTCCATCTAGCCCTCCCTCTGCCCGGTACTTCTCAGCGCCTCGCTCTGCAGCTGAGCTCAGTCATGTGACCTGATGTGGCCAATGAGAGAGCAGCTCGGTGCCTAGAGCAGAGGCTGGGGAAGTGCTGCCCCCTTGGTTTCTCCCTCTGCCACTTCCACCGGGTGGACCGGCTTTGGCTATCGCGGGAGGACAGGACTCATTGAAGTCACCTGGGCACCCCGTCTTTTCTGGCTCAGGCTGTCCTGGATCAGCCAGCAGCAAACTGACCACAGAAACGCGAAGAACCCCAGCCAAAGTCCCCAAGGTGACCTCTCAAGGGCCAGGAAGAAGCATGTGTGCACGCCCGTGATCGAGGCTGGCTGAGGCTGAGCGGGTCAGTGCCTTACACTAACTGCTGGTCCCAGAGTGCCTTGCCTTTCTGAGGTTCCCTTCTCTGAGGTCAAAGGTCGATGCTCCAGGAGTGGAGACAGAACTCCACGTGGGAGTACTGAGAAAGGGGAGGGATCAGGCCGACACAGGCTTGATTTCTAGTTTATGTGCCTGGCGGTCCAGTCTGTTTTAGGACATTTTATATTTTGCATTCTGATGTACCCAGGAGCTTGTTAAACAGATCACGCTTGTGATTATTTAGTCCTCATTTTATGCAATTAACCAAAAAAAAAAAAAAGTTGACCATGAAGTCCTGTATTTGTCTTTTTACTACACGTATGAACTCTCTTTGTGTGACCGAGTGCTGTAGTAATCTATTTTAAGGGAGCCTTCTTTCAGAGCTCTTTCAAACTGGTGCAAATGGAAAAGACTTTCTGTTTTCCTTTAAGCCTAAAGACCAGAACGCCATGCTATACGGGTGCAGCTCAATCCCTGTTAATAGAAAGCAATGTAGGTGTAGACACGTTACCCGTTCAAGTCACTGTGTCCCAACCTGTTGCCACTGACATTTTTGGAAATGGCTGTCGATTTTAAGTTGCCCTTGAACCGTCTAACCGTGGACATCAGCGGTTGTCTCCCTTCTACCATGTAAAATTCTTTGACTTAACTTTCTCCCAGATACAGGGGAATGCCTGCCTGTTTTTCAGTGTTTATTTACTGCTGTTACTATTTGATTCGATGTAGTAAATAAAAAGAAACAACCTGACTTAAAAAAAATAGTCTGAATTAGATGTCCCTTAATATGAGGGTCCTCCCAAATCCAGTGCTCAAGCGTATAGATCAAGTCACCCACCTGCCACCTTCAGCTCCAAGTTGGCCTCTTCGTAGAAACCTCCCTTTTTGAAGAAGCAGGTGTACAGCCCGTCATCGGAAACCCGGACGTTGTGGATGCGCACGGCAGCCTCCCCCTTGGTAAGGAGGTCCCTCACCAGCGAGGCCCGCCCCATGTACTGGGCCAGCTGCTCCTCCTTCTGCTCCTGTTGGTCCCGAAAGCTGAGCACCACTTCCGAGAACTTGGTGCGGAACCACCTTAGTTCCATAGTCACTGCGCTCATGGGTGGGAACAGGGAGCAGGGCAGCATGGCACTTCCACCCAGCACTGCCACAACAGGGTCCGAGGGGCCCACGACCGCAAACTCATCTGTGGACACAGACACGGAAGTGAGAAGCTGTGAGACACAGGCCATGGGGTGAGCACATACCATGGTGGGGAGGCCAGGCAGGCCAGGGGCAGATGCTGGCTGACGGGACCCCACACGACCTGCTGGACTGAGCAGTGATGACGCTGAACCTGGTGAGATCTTCTTCTGACCACAGTCATGGGGCCCAAAAGTGATGTATGAGACTCCCTCAGTGACCTGTGCCCCTAGCCCCAGGCCCTTCCATGAAGGACTCTAACCCAGAGGTCTCGCACTGAGCTTGCACTTACAGGACCTTGTAAAACACATGCTGAGCCTCAACCCCAGAGCTGCTGATTAGGTAGGTCAAAAATGTGCATTTCTAAGGGGTTCCCAAGGAAGGAGATGCTGTTTGTCCAAGGACCACACTTTGAGAACCACAGTTGCAACCTGGTCTTGCTTCCAGGAGAGTCTGAGAACTCACCAAAGAAAATATCTGTGGCCTAGGGCAGAACTCTGACTGTGCAGCCACACCCAGGAAATCCACACTCCCACTTCCAAGTTTTTCTGTCCATATTTTTCTCCTTCACTGAATTATATGTACACTTAAAACCTAGATCTAGGGACCAGCAGATGACAAAATGGTTACGTCACTGGTCTCCCATGTAGTCAACCATGGTTTGAGTCCTGGACTCTGCAGCTCCAAACTCATGCTGGGCACGTGTGCATGTGTCAAAATCCCCAGAGAAGAAGGGAGAAGGGATTGAGGCACCGCCATCTCCCCAGGGGGTGATTTCTCACTTTCTGTCTCTCTGGCAAGCACACAGGCCCTATAGCAAAAATCTCTCTCTCTTAAAAAAGTTTTAAAAACCTAGATCCAAAACTGTCTTCCCTGGAGCCAGCAGGTGGCGTGGTGGCTAAGGTACCCACATGGCACCGGGATCCCACATCCACAGGTTGTGTCCCAGGCACGTGTGCCCAGAATCTCACGAGCAGGATGGAGAAGAGGCTGTGGCGTGGCCATTATCCCTTGGGGATGGCTTCTTACTTTCCCCCTCTCCATCTACTCCAGTGAGCACACGTGCCACAAGGCAGAAATCTGGAAAAAAAGGTGGGGGGGGCTGCCTTTTCTCCCATCTCTCACAGGAGCCCCAATCACTGTTTGTAAAAGAAAAAATTGGGGGCCAGCAGGTGGCGTGGTGGTTAAGGGCGCTGGACTCCCACATGGCTGACCATGGTTCAAGTGCTGGACCTGGCGACTTGCTTTCTCACTTTCTCCTCTCTGACCGTCTTCTCTCTCTGTCTCTCTGTCTCTCTATCTCTCCTCTTCTCCCTCTCTGGTTAAATTTAGATAAATAAATAAAGTTAAATAAAGTCTTTAAAAAAAGTTTTACCCACGCACCCACCACCTTCTGAGTCCTGGTAGACGGACCATAACAGGACTCCTCTGAGAGCTCTGGGCCACCAGACAGCTCCCTCTGACCCTGTGTGTGCTGTGTACCTGGCCCAAGCTCCTGGAGGACAGTACAGTACCCTCCCCCCGTCCTCTCCCGCCATCACGGCTGTGATCCTTTCATCTCATATGAGCTCATCCATGTCCCTGCTCTGCTCCAAACCCTCCTGTGGCCCGCAGACCCAACCAGGTTACCCCCACGACCTCTCTGGCCCCAGCTCCTTCTCCCCCGGCCTGTCTATTCCAGCCAGCATTTGTTCCCCTCTCTCTGCTGCTCCCCGACACCCCAGTCAGGAACAGCCAGGTATTATGCCAGCTTCACTCTGCCAGCTTCGCCCTGGCTGCTCCCCACTGCGGGAACCTTCTATCCCAGGAGGTCCTCACAGCTCACGCCCCTCTCCTGCTAGTCCCTGTTCCATCCCTGTCTCCACTCACCTCCTCTGTGACCACTGCGCATGCCCATCCCCTCCCGCATCCCTGGCTGCCCACCCCTGCCTGCCTCACCTCACTCCTCTCTACAGACACAGGCCGTCCTGGGGTGCTGCATTTACTACTCGCTGTCTAGTTCATAGAACAGTGCCTGGCACATCTTCAGAACCCCATTGATATTTGGGGAACAGGGTGAATGAATGCAGGCTTAGAATGCCAGAACAACAGGGAAGCCAAACTCGGGAGAAAGATATTCTTGAATTTTTTATATTTGACTTTTTAAAACATCAGAAAGCTTATCACTGGACAAGTGTCAAGATCCCCTACTCTGGGACCAGCAGTTAGCATAATGGCTATGTTGCTGGACTTCCACATAGTCAACTGCAGTTTGAGTCCTGGACCCAGTGGCTTAAACTCACGCCGGGCGCGTGTGTGTGCGTGCCCAAGATCCCGAGAGGAGAATGAAGAAGGAATTGCAGCATGGCCATCCCCCCTGGGGGGTGATTTCTCTCTTTCTATCTCTCTGTCTCTCTCTGTCTGTCTGGCGAGTGCACATGCCCTATAGCAAAAACCTCCACAAAAAAAAAAAAAGAATCCTTACACTTACCTTATGGGTTAGTGACCCGTGTGAAGTTCTTAGTTACAGTTAGTCTTAGTGAGCACCCTAATCCAGAGCTGGGGGCTGACAGAGACCTAGCAGAACACCCAGAGGCTCCCACCCCCAAGGGAGACACAGAGAGGGACAGGGACACTCACCTATGGACCCCCCGGGGGGCAGCTGGACCAGGAGAAGCAGGGAGGGGAGAAGGCGGAGCCAGGAGCAGCTGCAGCAGCCCTCCATGTGCTCAGAGCTGGGGAGCGACAGGGGC